TCCACCAATCTATTTCATTTTCACAGTCTCTAATACTTCTTAACCTTTCTGCCTCTTCCCTCAGTTCAACCACCTGCCTGAGCAGATCATTTACTTGATCACACCGTACACAGGCAGTGTCTCTGGCTCCCTGTAAGAGCAGTGTCAGGCTCAGGCATTCATTGCAGCCCGAGACCTGCATAGCCACATGCTTGCGCAGGAGCTCAGTCTGAGTTCCCACATTCTTTCTTACAGTGGCTTTTGACCATTTTGTGGCCATGTTCTTCTCTTGTGCCAGGAGTTGATGAATCTCTGCTGTTGGCTTCCCACACGCCCTGAGCCCGTGGCCCTGCACGCCGATGTTCCTCTGCTTGCACTTGCCCAGCTTGTGCTCAACTTAGACGCAAGGCTTTCAGTGACCTACCGTGTGAAATGCTGCGCCCTGTTCGGCCGCTCCCAGTGTGGTGCTGCAGTGACTCCCTAGGTGATGCCCACTGGCTAACCCCATGCTGGGGGGGCAGCCGCCAGCCACTGTGCTCCAGGACCACCCATTTAGAACTGCCCCATGGTGTTGTCTCTGGCCCTGCCACCTCAGCAGCCTGCGCCTGAGCTGCCCGTTCCGGCACAGGCTAGCCAATTTTCCTGGCTTCGAAAGCCCCCCAGAAGAGCCCTTCAGCAGATTGCTGGCAAAGGCACTTAAGCTTTGATTTTCATTAAGAAGCACACAGAAAAATCTACCAATAAAACAAAAAGAGCAAATAAACTCCCTTATGTATGTTGTGGTTTAACCTCAAGATCACGCAGCCACTTGCTTGCTTCTCTCCCTTCCCCCAAGATGGGCAGGGAGGAGAAGTGGAAAAGGAAAGGAAAGGGAAAAAAAACTCGGAGGTTGAGATAAAGAGAGTTTAATAGAACAATAACAGAAAAAGAAAATAATAATTATAGTAATAATAAAAAAATATACAAAATAAAGTAATACAATACAAGTCTCTCTCACATCCCCCCTGACTCCTCATTCATTCCTTTGCCCCATTCTCACCTCTTTCTGGCCTCATACTCTCTCTTTCTGTGCCCTCTGGCAAAACCATTGGAGGGGTTTAGAAATTACTCTGAATGTGCCTGTTTTTAAACGCTTACATTTATATATATAATAATCTTGAACTAAATCCTACTTTTGTGATAAGTAGTAGGTCCCCTTATTTAATTTTAATTTTAATTTGATGAGTGTAATTCCTGTATATTTTATATACAATATTTTTTATATATGATCTTGTATATTTTATAATTTATATATCTGTATCAGAAATAGTGTGGCCAGCAGGACTATTATCCCTTTGTATCTTCAGTTTTGGGCCCCTCACTACAAGAAAGACATTAAGGTGTTAGAGTGTGTCGAAAGAAGAGCAGCAAAGCTGGTGAAGAATCTAGAGAACAAGTCCTGTGAGGAGCGGCTGAGGGAATTGTGGTTATTTAGTTTGGAGAAAAGGAGGGTAACAGGAGACCTTATCGATGTCCACAACCACCTGAAAAGAGGTTGTAATGTGGTGGGTATTGGTCTCTTCTCTCAAGTAACAGGTGAAAGGACAAAAGGAAACAGCCTCAAGTTGCACCAGGGGAGATTTAGATTAGGTATTTGGAAAAAGCATTGGAACAGGCTGCCCTGGGAAGTGGCTGAGTCACCATCCCTGGAGGCATTTAAAAGACATGTAGAGGCAGCACTTAGGGACATGGTTTAGTGGAGGACTTGGCAGTGTTTGATTAATGGTTGGACTTGATGATCTTAAGGGTCTTTTCCAACTTAAATGATTCTATGATTCTGAGCTTTGATGGAAAATCAGGGTATCTTTCACTAGTGATAAGAACACTAGTGCTTAAGGTTATGAGTCTATGTCGGGTCCTGGGTGTTAGCTACTCTGAGAGGTTATTTCTGATAAGAGAAAAAAAAAAAAAAAAAAAAAAAAGAAACCTCCTGCCAAGGAGGCTCTCACCAAGGATTTCCAATAAGATATGCACTCGGCTGGAGATACCCCACTCCTCTCACCACTGTGTGAGTACTGGGCACTCTGAGTACTCTGAACAAGTTCCAATCCCTCCTACCTTATTAGGCGATGATGACAAAAACCAGAGACTGTGACATGAACTCCTCACCAAACTAAAGATTGGGGTTTTTTTAAGAAAAAAAGCAGCAAATGACACAAATTGAAAGCAGGCTGAGGTTTCCTGTTTCAGCTTCGAAATTCATATATATAGATTGCCATTCCATACCTGTCTCCTGTCTGTCCACAACAACTGTTTTGGCTCTTCAGGACAGTGGTAGAAGATGCTGCTTCTCCTTCTGCTCGCAAGTGCTTTTCTCCTTGTCCCATGGGCTGGGGCTGGTGAGTACAGAGAGATGGCATTTTGAGGAGGACATGCAAGGGCAGAAATGGGCACTGAGTGGGAAATCTGTACGGTACCTGCCTTGTCTTTTTTCATATCTCTACTCTCTACTCATATCTCTCAGCTCAGACTGTGCCTGAAACCAGTGGTGCATTACAGGTACTAGCATAGTGACCTTTGATAGCATTTTAGGCATCCAGAGTCAGGTGTGGTCAGTCATCCCCAGGAAGTGTTTGTTTTTCTCTCTGTTGTGCATAAGCAATGCTTTGAACAGCCCAAGGAAGGAGACTACTTGGCAACATTGGCATCATTGGCATACATCCCTCATCCACCTCTGAACTTAATGGGAAATAGAGGTGTATGTGATATTAATGCTTCTCATCTCTCTTCCAGGAAGGATCATTGGTGGGTCAGAAGCTAAGCCCCACTCTCGGCCCTACATGGCTTATTTATCCATTAGAAATGTTTCACATGAAGGTACATGTGGAGGATTCCTGATTCGCCCAGATGCGGTGCTCTCAGCTGCTCACTGTGTGGCTGGAAAAACATAAGGCCCTTTCTTGCTTGTATCTGGAATTGTTTCATGTCCTGCACAGTCATGAAGAGCCACAGTCCTGGTCTGGGGTGAAAGAGTACTCTGTGACTCTTCAGGCACAGCAGGGCTCTCTGTGAGCCAAGACATCCCCTATGAGTTGCAGGAATTGTCTGCCAGGGGTTATGTAATCCCTGGGGACAGGAACCCTTGGCAGTGGTCTCCAGGTCCATGGTTCCAACCATGGCTTAGAGCTACTTTTGGAGAAGAGTTGCCAGTGTCTCCCATTCCTTGTTTCCCTTTTGTCTTCAGAATGGGACACATCAGTCCTATGTCAGCGAGGGGTAAGAGATGCCATGTGGTTGTGGTCAGTGTAGCTGGAACATGTTGGTGTTTCCTGGCAGGAAAGTGGCTATCATTGTGATTCTGGGAGCCCACAACGTATATAAGGAGCTGAGCTGGCAAGTGTTCCACATTAAACACTGGGTCATCCATCCCAATTACTCAAGAGATATTGATGAAAATTACATCATGCTGCTGAAGGTATGCCACCACACATCCTTGCTGACCAAGGGGTCTCCCCCTGCACGCTTCCCCAACCCCATTAACTTGTTCCCATTCCTTTGCCTGCTCTAACCCCATGTTCTCTCTGCTTGGCAGCTGAACCTAAAGGCCAAAAAGACTAAGGAAGTCTCTCCTATCGACTTGCCCAGTCACAACGAGCAGGTGAAACCAGAAACTACATGCGAAGTGGCTGGCTGGGGCGACACATCAATACCAAGTAAAATGCCTAGTGTGCTGATGAAGGCGGACCTGAAAGTGCAGCGTGGTGAAGTGTGTAAGGCTTCTTTCAATAATGACTATCTGGAACAGTCTATGATCTGTGTTGGTGATGAGGATGGCAACAAAGCATCTTTCAAAGTAAGTGTTGTTTTGGGCTCCAAGCTTGGGGTGAGGTTGGGACTAGACAGTCAGGTTGGTTCTCAGGCTGGGGACGAAGGGGGTTACAATGAATGAGATTCTTTGGGATGACGTGTGGAGGCTCCTCTCAGGAGGTCTGAAGCCAAACTCTCAGCATCGTGTGCCTTTTTACATGCCTGGGGATAGTCTATCCAGCGTAGCCACTGCCCCAGCAGACTGCAGATCTCATGTAAATCCTTCACTATATCCTTCTGACACCCTGGGGTGGCTTGGATATTTCCACACATCTAAAGTAGCACTAGATTCTTCTTTTTGGGGATGTGAAGGCCATTTTTGAGTCTCAGACACAGATTACCTTAGAGGAGTAGGAAGCTACAAGGCTTTCAGAGCTGGGTCTGGAGGGAAATGCTCAAACAAGGATATTCTTCAATGTGGAGGGAGGCAAGAAGGCCAGTTTCTTCCTTGGGGCAGGAGGACCTGTGCTCTGACATGTCTGACCTCTCCCACTCCTTTTACCTCACAGGGTGATTCTGGTGGCCCATTAGTCTGCAATGGAAAGGCTCACGGCATTGTTTCTTATGGACCCAAATATTGCATCTTCCCTGAAGTATTTACCAGAGTCTCCTATTTTGAACCCTGGATACGTCAAGAGCTGAGGAAGTTTGCTCTCCAAGTCCTACCTGACTCACCCTCCTCTGACTAAAATGCTCAGTGCCCCATTTCCACAAGGCATCAAACATCTGCTGATGCTCAGAGGCTTCCAGGGGCTGCTGAAATGGAGTCAGAGATGCTCTCATGGCATATGCACAGGCTTTTGCACTAATGAATATCTCCACGGCAAGGTAAAAATGCAGGTCCCAGGCACACACAGTTTCACATTATTCCCTTCCTCTCACTGCTGCCCAACAGTGCTCCCTCCTGCTCTGCTTTCTGGCCACCAATAAAAGCATGTTCAAACTTGTTTGTGTGTGCGGCCTTCTTGGGAACAGGATGAGATACCTGCACATCCACTTCCAAGTATGGGGTCTTTGGGGACGGTGGGCAGAAGAGTGGGATTGTGTTCCCCAGACACAGATCACTCTTCACATCACACCTCTCGGCTTGCTGAGCTTGCTGCATTTTATCAAAAGGCTAGATAGCATCATCTTTGCATGAGGTGAGGGGCAGCAAGATCTGCACAGGGAAGAAGAGACCATGTTAACCACTTGGAGGGGACAGAAAAAAACATGGTTCCAGACTTGCCCCGCACCCTTGCTGTAGTTATGAAAGCCTATTTTCAAATTTCCCGATTCACAAGCAAGCGCTGTGTTCAACTCCTTTCCCTTTGACAGCCCTCCCTTTTGCCCCAGTTCACAAGTCCTACCCCACAATGTCCCAGAAGGTGCCCACAGACCTGTGAAGACAGGACAGTGTAGACATCAGTGCTATGGATGGGGGGAGGGGCAACCTGGATGCCTAGGATTTCTAAAGGCAAAACAGGGCAACCACAGGTTCAAAACATGGCAGGACCAGTTTCAGTGGGAAGGTGGTGGGGTACAGCAGTGGGTGTCCAAATAAACTGTATTGTAAAGACATCAGCCAGCCTATTCACACCCTTTCTCTCCTTTCCATCCTCTTGCACTTCAGATGAAGCATTTTGTTTGTGCCTGTAAAATGGCTGAGGGATGAAATATGGAGATTTTCTCATATTGGATCATCTGAGCAGGATGTGACTGGGCGAGGAGGTGCCCTTGTATGGGTGGTGACAGGATAGGAAACTTCAAAGATGGCAGTCCTGGGGAAAGCAGTATTGCAGAGAGACAACCCTGACCACTCATGCAAGTGAGAGAGGCATGGAAGAAAAAGGACTTAGTGGATCTGAGCTTCTATTTTACACAAACTCTGCTTCTCCCCTGAACCTTCTCTGTGAAAGAAGCATTTGCCCTAGGAAGACATCAGTTCCGACAGAAAATGGGTCTCAGATGCCCCCTTTATCACTGCAGAGCTGTGGTTAAGCACGCTCTCAGCAACACTGTGTTTCATAAAAGAAAAAGCTAAGATGCTGCTAATATTAAAAAACAGAGTTTCACCAAGCTGCTTAATCTTATCATAGAATCACAGAATTGTTATGGCTGGAAAAGACCTTTAAGATCACCAAGTCCAACCATTATTAAGTCCCACCCTAGATGTCTGCAATACCAGTATCTCCATGGGAGCTGCTTGGCCAGGCTCTTTCCATAGTATCTGAGATCTTGTTTATGTAATCCATGCAGCTGAGGTTCATTCACCTCCACTAGATCAGATACCTACCTTCTGTTGTTGTTTGATTCTCTGCTTTCCTTCCAATAACAATTGACTGGGATTTGCTTTGGTTACTGGAAACGCATTGGGTTACCAATGCGGCATTCAGCTACTGCTCCAGAAAGGGTCAGGTGCTTCATGGTGTCTCTGCCATAACACCAGCACCGTGGCTTCCTCTGCGACTCCCAAGTGGTACTAGTATTCAAGACTGCTGCCAGTCAGTCTGACCTTCTTTTCCTATCCTATTGTGTGACATACATGGGAATGCAATTTTCTTCATTTCTCCTTCTTTCCTTGGGAGCCTGGACTGAGTGAAGCAGCCTTGGTCTGGATTTCTTCTTTAAGTTCATCTTGGAGTCCCTAGGCTTGAAGGGGCTCGAGCCAAAAGGCAATGGTTTATCCATACCTCAGCCTAAGGCCTTGTAGGATCCAATACCTGGGGCCTTGTCCCACTCACAAGCACATGCCCAGAAGAAAACTCTCTTGTATTTATAGCAAGCAAAATTAGAAAGCACCTGTATGATAGTCTGGTTTGAGGTACTACAGTGCATTGACAGCACAGTGTTAGTCAGGATTCCCAGCTCTGAGCTCAGGTGCAGGGACCTCTACGGGAAAAGGAGGTGTTGAGATGTGCCAGTCGTGTTCCTAGATGCACTGAGGTGTGCTGAGAGCCTCTGACACACTAGGTGACCTCGCAGTCTGCTACTCATATTTCTACATCCTTAGCTGCCTAAATACCACTGCAGTCTTTACCTTCTGTCTCAGTGTGGACCTGCAGGTTTGTGTGGAGCTCAAATGCAAAGCCCAAGCAGCAGCACTAGAAACAAGAAAAGCTCCAAATAAGTCTCTAATCTACAGGCCCACCAGTAGAAAGGACATGGTCATGGCGTTCTCAAGGAGGACTAATGTCTTGCAACAGTCTGTTGGAAAGACTTCTAGTCACCTACAGATATAAGGCTCTGTGACCATGTCAAATGCAGCCAATTAACTTTCTATCACTTTAGCTATGGTCCCTTCATGATTCATACTTCCTGGAGGGTCATTTTCACCTCTCCTAGGAAGGCACCAACTCATTCTGTTTTAGACAACACCTGGTTTGTTTAGACAGCATCCAAAATACATGGCTTTAGGGAGAGTTCACACCAAGGATCATTCTTTCAGTCTAACACAGATGACATCAAGTTAAGTCTCCTTTGCTGTTCCAGCAGGTCTTGAACACTCCATCCTAACCTCACAGCAAGATGTGGCACACTCAACAGATTATTATAAACAAACAGCATCCTTGGGCAACTACTCAGTCCACATACCACTTCAAGCACTGTCATGGCTTGAGCCAGACTGGCCACTGAAATGAATGACAGATGCTCTCCCCAACCTCTTCCAGAACAGAGAGGAGGAAGAGAGAGAAAGACAGTTATGAATTTTAAAAAGAACTAAATTATTGTAATGAAAATATTAATAAAATAGAATCATAGAATTGTCTAGGTTGGAAGAGACCCTTGGGATCATCAAGTCCAACCATCTACCCTACTCTACAAAGTTCTCCTCTACACCGTATCCCCCAACACCACATCTAAATGGCTCTTAAACACATCCAGGGATGGTGATTTGTTTACTAGGCCCTTCACCAGCTTCGTTGCCCTCCTCTGAACTCACTCCAGCACCTCGATATCTCTCTTGTATTGAGGTGCCCAAAACTGGACACAATACTCAAGGTGTGGCCTCACCAGTGCTGAGTACAGGGGCACAATCACCTCCCTACTTCTGCTGGCCACGCTATTTCTAATATAAGCCAGGATGCTGTTGGCTTTCTTGGCCAGCTGGGCACACTGCCGGCTCATATTCAGGTGCTTGTCAATTAGAACCCCCAGGTCTCTTTCTGCCAGGCAGCTTTCCAGCCACACTTCCCCAAGCCTGTAGCGCTGCACAGGGTTATTGTGGCCCAAGTGCAGGACCTGGCACTTGCCCTTGTTGAAACTCATACCATTGATGTTGGCCCAATGATCCAATCTATCTAAGTCTCTCTGTAGAGCTTCCCTATCCTCCTGGGAATCAACACTCCTGCTTAACTTGGTGTC